GGAGCCAAGGTCTACCTGACCCCCAAATTCCACTACCTCCGCTCCGCTCCGGTCCGCCCCTGCCTTCCGCAGCCGCTCGCTTCCGAACTCAATTTTTCTTGGTACCCGCTCTACAATGGCTCCGCTCCGGTGCGGAGACCTGAGGTGGGCAAACAAGCATGCACGGGATTTTCGAGATCTTGCGATACAGTCCGAGCAATAAACGCGGAAGTTAGATCCAAGCACCCGTTGTGTGGGAGAAGCATTGGCATGAACTGTTTAATCTGCCCATCATTTGTGTTGAGAGATCAGCAGTGTTTGGATCAACAAAGTGTGACTACTTTGATAGTGGAAACTGTATTTATGGCTTACTTTTGTGCATTTAAACTTCAGCCGCCATTGATAGTTGTTAAAAGTTGTTAAACCTGTGCATATGAAACAAAAAACGCGTTTTGTTTATCGATTTATTGTGAAAAACGGAAGTTGTGCTTGCTCCTTTTCCTGTTGGGCGGTTGTGATTTCTGTCCATTTACTGCGGAGGTGCTCCGGCGTCCAGCGAAAATAGGATCGATTCTATTTTTGCCGGACGCTAGAACAGAGGTCGGCGCACTGCACCGCACTGCCGGAGCATGGCCGCAGTAGTGGAATTGCTCTGATTGACTACAACGGGACCGATTTTGCTCCGGCGTTCGTGTCGGAGCGGAGCGGAGCAGAGGTAGTGGAATTTGGGGGTTAGGCCCCTGAACCCGGGCCAGGCACTGCTGCATGTTCCTGCCTTTTTCCCGGCAGCATACATGTCAGGACCCGTTTGTGTGTGTTTGTGTTTGTGCAGTGTGTACAGGTGTCAGACGACACAAACCCCATCTTGAACATCCGATGACCTGTATAGTGTACTCTGTGTAGTATTTTGTACTGAATTAATTGTAAATTGGAGTGTCTGATCATTTTAAAGGTTTTTAAACAAGTTTGGGACCAGAAGTTCTGGTCAAAGCTGACTGATAGATCCACCTCCCATTTTTCAATAGGGATTACTATTCTATCGTCTATTTTGGACAGTGTCTTATATACTTTAGACCAGTGGTTCCCAAACTTATTTAGCCGCGCACCCCCTTCTATGTCCCGACCATATATTTATATATATATATATATATATCAGATGTCAAGCTAAACAGACAGGGTTAAAAAAATTCCCCATCACTTTCATTTTTTAAATAGTAATTAATAAACATTCGATACCATTACAATTTCCTTTGATTTCATTTTAAATAAATATTTAGAGTCCCCAGGTAGCACATAAACAATGCAATTTAACGGTTTTCTTAAAGTAGGAACGTTTAACCTGTGCGGCCAGAGCGCTCTCCTTCCTTCTGCTCTGCGTAAACCTGAACTGGTCACCTACTTGTGCGTAATCAAATGTCAATAGGGGACAAGATACAGCCATGATGTTCATTTTTGCCTCAGACCGACTTATTGCTGTTTTATGGTGTGGCTGAATCTGTGATCCGCTGTCATGCGGACTGGAACAACAATTGCTGCAGTAACATGAGATGTGGTCAGGTTCATGAGGAGTCACTGGCTGGAGCGGACCCGACTCATCCCAGAAGCTAATATCTTAATTTGACCTTGAATGAAAAATAACCTCTTAAAAGTTTTTATCACGGTGGAGGCAGCGTTCATTTCTGCCTTCAGTCTGACGGCGCGCCGGAGTTAAAGCAGCGTGTGCGCTTATTGAATCTGTGTGTGTGCGCGCACGCGCGCGCGGCACAGCCGCTCAAGTCACCACGTCTCGCGCTATTTAAACCAATGTTGTAAAATGACTTCTGCCCAGGCCAGATGTGCTCACTTGTGCACCCGTGAGCCGTGGTTCAGCCGGAACGCGTCTGACCTCTGACAGACGCACTCTGAACTTCAGATCTTCAGCGCGCTGTTAATAGCCTGAATGGGAATCATTTCTTGTTATTTTGTTACATCCACAATGTTCTGTGTGTGAGGTTTACAATGTCAGAACACCTGCATGAGACAGGTGTTTATTACAATCTGCCAGAATGACTCACCACCTTCAGATTCCTCCAACACCGTTAAAAATGATCAAATACGGAACATATCGGCGTGCGCAGGCCAGAGTGCTGAAGCTCGGCTCATTGTTATTATTATGAAGTTAGGGCACATGTGGAGGACACGCGCGCGCGCGACGGAATATATCGGCGTGCGCATGCCAGAGTCCTGAAGCTCGGCGCATTGTTATTATGAAGCTAGGGCACATGTGGAGGACATGTGCGTGCACGCAAAAATATACTTGTTTTCAATTACATTTATTGTGCCCACTTACTTTTTCTTAGGCCCACCCACAAATGAGTGTCTACGCTAATGGTGACATATGACAGACTTCTCTGAGCTCTGCAGCCATTACACTTTTCACCTCGCGCACCCCCTAGCGGCAGCTCGCGCACCCCCAGGGGTGCACGCACCACACTTTGGGAATCCCTGCTTTAGACAGTAGTTTGGGGGGTTTGAGATTATAGAAGTCTAATACCCTTGGTGGTGTTTGTAATTCTATTTTATTGAGCATAAATTTTTGTTTTACTACAGATTTAATTTGGTGGTATTCTCAAAAGCTATTCTTATCTATTCCAAATTGGGAGACTATTCTATTAAATGGGATGAAGTCCAATCCTTCACATATGTGTTCCAGGTATAGGATTCCTTTGTTTTTCCAGTCCGGAAGGTTCATCATTTTATTATTTTGCAAATTATCAGGATTATTCCAGATCGGTGTGCGTCTGCATGGTACTAGTGAAGACTCTGTCATTTTAAGATACTCCCACCGTGCTGTCAGAGAGGTGCTGATACTTTTGAAGCCTTCATGTTTTCTAATGCTTGAGCTAATAAATGGTAAATCTGAAAGCTCTATCGTGTTGCAAAGTGTCTGTTCTATATCTAACCAGGACTCATCTAGTGGGTTACCTTGCAACCATCTTGGTATATATTGCAGCCTGTTGGCTAAGAAATAATAATAAAAGTTGGGTAAATCCAGTCCTCCTCTGTCTTTGGTCTTCTGAAGCGTTTTTAAGCTAATTCGTGGAGGTTTATCCTGCCAAAGGAATTTAGTAATTGAGGAGTCCAGAGATTTAAACCAGTCAGCTGGTGGTTTGTTTGGGATCATTGAAAATAAGTAATTTATTCTGGGTAAGACCATCATTTTAACTGTAGCAACTCTCCCCATGAGTGATATTGGTAAGGATTTCCATCTTGCAAGATCATCTTCCACTTTCCTTAAAAGTGGGATGTAATTTAGTTTGGTTAGATCTGCTAACTTGGGAGAGATATTAATTCCCAGGTATGTGATATTCCCTCACTCCAATTGTGTATTAAGTAAATTGACAAAAGAGAAATTAATTGGTAGAACTGTGGATTTTAACCAGTTTGTAGAGTAGTCTGAAACTTTTGAAAAAGAGTTTATCAGTTCTATTGAATGAGAGAGAGACGAATGAGAATTCCGGAGAAAGAGTAAAACATCATCTGCATAAAGACTTATCTTATGTTCTATTTTCTTACACTTTATCCCTTTAATACCTGTTGTTTGCCTAATTGCTGCCGCTAGTGGTTCGATAAAGATAGCAAACAGTGGGGGTGGGGGGGGTGGGGGGGGGGGGGGGCATCCCTGCCTGGTCCCCCTCTGAAGACAGAAGCTAGCTGATATTTGGTGGTTTGTCCTGACACGTGCTGTTGGTGAACTGTATAATGTTTCTAGCCAGTTTATGAAGAAGTTCCCAAAGCCAAATTTATGTAAAGTTGCAAATAAGAACTTCCAGTTAACTCTATCAAAAGCCTTTTCTGCATCTAGAGATAATAGACTAGTTTCTGTTTCTACTGTAAGAGAAATCTATCAAATTAAGTAATCTACGTGAGTTTGTGGATGACTGTCTACCTTTAATGAAACCAGTTTGGTCAGGGTGTATTATGAAGGGGGTTACCTTCTCTAATCTTTTTGCCAGGGCTTTACAAATTATTTTGAGATCAACATTAATAAGGGAAATCGGGCGATAGCTGGTAGGAAATGCTGGGTCTTTGCCTGGTTTTAACAAGAGACTAATATTGGCTGAATTCTTGTTTGGCTGTAATCTGCCGCTCTCTTCGATTTCCCTCACCATTCTGAAAAATATTGGAGCCAGAATGATCCAGAAATCTTTGTAGAACTCTACTGGGAACCCGTCTGGACCTGGAGCTTTCCTATTAGTCATGGATTTAAGGGCTTCCTGGAGCTCCGCTGATGTTAGTGGCGAGTCCAGGACTGTAACTTGGCTGTCTGATAATTTAGGAAGTGTTATCCTGTCAAGGAACTCATCGATCTCGTTATCTGATGGGTTTATCTGTGGTGAGTAGTACAACGTTTGGTAAAAGTCTCTGAAAGTGTTGTTTATTCTTTCAGGATCATATACTATATTCCCGGTTGAGTCTTTAACAGCAGATATTGTAGTTTTCTCTTTATTTATTTTTAACTGGCTAGCCAAAAATTTACCTGATTTATTACTATGTTCAAAGTTTTCTATTCGTAGTCTTTGTGCTAAAAATTGTGTCTTTTTGTCAATAATTCCATGAAGTTCTAATTTAGCTTTACGTAATTTGCTCATTAACTCTTCTTCTGTGGATGCCTCTAAAGACTTGATGATTTCTTCTAACTCCTGAATACGTTTGTTTTCCATTTTTTTCTTATGTGATGAGAAAGAGATTATTTTACCTCTCATCACTGCCTTTCCTGCCTCCTAGAGAATAGATGCTGATGTTCCAGGCAGGTCATTATGTTCTAAATATAAAGCCAACTCCTTTTTTTTTAAATCTATAAAACCTTCGTCTTTGATCAGTGATGCATTAAACTTTAGGTTACTGTCGTAACCCCGGTTCTCTGAGTAACATGAGTGAGATGTCTCACTATGGGATACGCCCCTCCGCGGATTCCTCAGAAGCACTTATCTCAATACGCCAATCCTGATTGGCCAGTGACCGTGACGTACGCGTCCCCCTGCTACTATAAGTAGCAAGCGTCCCCACGTACGCACTATTCAAGATAAACACCTCTTCTCGCTTCGCCCAGCAAGAAGGGTTGTCTGGTGAGACATCTCACTCATGTTACTCAGAGAACCGGGGTTACGACAGTAACCTAAAGTTCTCTTTCTTAACATTCGTTTCGATGTCTCACTATGGGATATGGAGACTCCCGTATTGCCAGACAGCTTATCCAGCGATCACCAACCTACAGGGGTACGTCTTGGCCCGCCAAAGACCCCACACTCAGAATCGTGTGAGTCATTGCAGGGACCGAAACATCAAGCTTATAGAAGCGTGCAAATGCAAGTGGAGAAGCCCAACTTGCTGCAGCACAAATCTCCTGGATTGACAGCCCCCGAAAAAGGGCCCAAGAAGCAGACAGGCCCCTAGTAGAATGGGCCCTGAGCCCAACAGGAGCCTGAATGCCCTGACAGGAGTAAGCCATAGAAATAGCCTCCGCAATCCAGTGGGAAAGCCTCTGCTTTGTGACGGGTTTCCCCTTACGAGGCCCACCCCATGACACAAAAAGCTGGTCCCCCCTGCGAAGGTTCTCCGTCCGATTCACATACTCCTTGAGCGCGCGAATCGGACACAGCTTGTGCCACCGCTCCTCCTCAGGAGAGGAGAAGGGTGGCGGGTAGAAAGCTGTGAGGATAATAGGAGAAAAGGAGCCCACTACCTTAGGCACAAAGGCAGGGTTGGGCTTCAGGGACACCTTCATGTCACCGGGTGCAAACTGGGCGCAGGATGGGTGCACAGAGAGAGCCTGTAAATCACTAACTCGCTTTGCAGATACCAAAGCCAGGAGTAGCACCACCTTAAGAGACAGGATCTTAAGGTCCAGGCCGTCCATAGGTTCAAATGGAGGCCCGGAGAGGGCCGACAGCACCAAGGACAGATCCCATGAGGGCACCAAGGGTCGAGACACAGGGAGAAGCCTGCGCGCGCCCTTCATGAAGCTACACACCAGGGGGTGTTGACCTGCCAGTTTCTTCCCAAAACCCAAGTGTCGGGCGGAAATGGCTGCTAGGTACACTTTAATGGTGGAGAAAGCCTTCTTCCCATCCAACAAGTCTTGCAGGAAAGACAGAATGACGTTCACCAGGCATTGGAAGGGTGAGACCTCCCTGCCCTGACACCAGGCTTCAAACACCCTCCATTTACAGTCATATAGGGACCTAGTGGAGGGGGCCCTAGCATTCTGAATGGTTCGAATGACTGCCTGGGGCAGCTCTGCTGACACTAGTCCGCACCCCTCAGGGGCCAGGCCCACAGGGCCAGCCGTTCTGGATGAGGGTGGAAGATTGAGCCTCCCGCTTGGGACACCAGGTCCCTGCGAAGCGGCAGTTTCCAAGGTTGGCCCTCCAGGAGCTGGAAAATGTCCGCCACCCAATGCATGGCTGGCCAGAATGGGGCCACCAGAATGAGAGTGTGGCGCTGGGTTCGTACCCTCAGCAAGGTGGATGGTATCAGGGCCACTGGGGGAAAAGCGTAAATCAGACCCCGTGGCCAGTCGTGCGCCAGCGCGTCCACGCCGAGTGGAGCGTCTCGGTCGCGCAGGGAGAAGAACAGAGGACACTGAGCATTCTCCTTGGAGGCAAAAAGATCCACTACGGCTGTGCCGAACCGGATCCAAATCTGTTCCACCACTGCTGGATGCAGTCTCCAATCCCCGTACAGGGGTGTCCCTCTGGACAACAGATCCGCCCCCCGATTCAGAACACCCGGGACGTGGGTGGCTCTGATTGAGAGGAGATGCCTGCTGCACCATAGGATCAGTCTGCGTGCCAGTGTGTGTAACCGCATGGAGCGCAGCCCCCCCTGGCGGTTTATATATGCCACAGTCGTGGTGTTGTCTGTACTCACTAGGACATGATGGCCGGACAGAAAAGGCAGGAAGCGCCTCAGGGCCAGAAAGACCGCGAGGAGTTCCAGATAATTTATGTGTGTCCCCCAGAGCTCTCTGCTCCACACACCCCTGACAGAGCGACCCTCCAGGAGCCCCCCCCAACCTGACAGGCTCGCATCTGTCGTGACCACTTTCCTCACGAGAACCAACCCCAAAGGCACCCCTTGTGCCAAGAGGGAGGGGTGACGCCAACAGCGGAGCGCCGCGACGCACGCTGCAGAGACCGTCACCCTGCGCGCTCTGTGGCGCACTGGAGAGAGACCCAGAGAAGCCACCCAGCGTTGAAAATCTCTCATGTGTAGACGGCCGAGTGGTACCACTGAAATAGCCGACGCCATGAGACCCAACAGCCTGAGGCATAACGCAAACCGCACCGAACTGTGTAGGCGGAAGCGAGCCAGGCAGAGCGAGAGCGCGTCCACGCGCGGTGTCGAGAGACGGGCCGTGAACGCCCCTGAGTCCAGATTCAGACCTAGAAAGGTTATTTTCTGGGAGGGGAGTAAAGCGCTTTTCTGCCAGTTTATTCTGAAACCCAGACCACACAAGTGACGGATCACAACCAGCGTGTTTGACGCTGCCTCCTCTCTGGATCGTGCCAGCAGGAGCCAGTCGTCTAAATATGTGGCCAGTCGAATGCCCCTCCCTCTCAGAGGGGCGATCGCCGCCTCCGTACACCTGACAAACACCCTCGGGCTCAGCGAGAGGCCGAATGGGAGCACGGTGTATTCGTAACACACTCCCTGAAAGGCAAACCTCAGAAATTTCCTGTGTGGAGGGTACACGGGAATATGAAAGTATGCGTCCCTCAGGTCGATTGAGGTGAACCAGTCGTTCTGGTGAATCAGACGCAAAAGGGATGAGAGCGTGAGCATTTTGAATCTGTACTTTCTGAGGCATCGGTTCAGGGCCCTCAGATCCAGGATCGGGCGAATCCCGGTCCCTCCCCGTTTCGGGACCAGGAAGTACCTGGAGTAGAAACCGCTCTGAGACCGATCGGGAGGCACAATGCATATCGCTCCCTTCTCCAGCAGGGAGGAGATTTCTCCCTGAAGGATGTGAGCTGACGACCCCCGGGCGTGGGAGAACACTACGCCGGAGAATCGAGGAGGAACTGAGGCGAATTGGAGCCTGTAACCCCTCGAAATTGTTCTTATCACCCAATGTGAAGCAGAAACCGCTGTCCATTCCTCCATGTGAGTTGAGAGCGGTGACACAGCCGTGACACACGGAGCACCAGCTCCCCCCAGAGGTTGTGGGGCAGCAGTGCTCGTGGCAACCACTGCGCATGCGCGGGGGCTTTGTGCTTTGACGGCCCAGGTGTACGGGGACGACCCGTGGCTGGCTAGAAAGTCCGCCAGGGGCCGACCCCGCCTGGGACCGCTCATGGGTAACATTTTTATTGATTTTTGCTGCGCCCTTGACATTTTGTCTGGATGCGGCAGCGAACGTTTTAATGCTCCTTGAGCGTGACATGTTTGTGAAAAACAACAATGTGAGTGCTTGTGACGTGTGTTCTGAGCCGGCACAGCCGGCTGCACGTCCTGGCCCCACCCTGGACCGCTCGGGGACTCTGCCGGAGGGGTTCCATGAGGGGGGGAGAAAGCACCATGGCAACGTTGAACAGGAGGGGCTGGCGAACGGGGAACTGCCAGCTGCAGCGTCGGGAGGGAAAGAACTCCGTCAGGCTGCCCTCTTCTTCTTCCTCACCTGCTGACCGCCGGGTCGGGTGGATTGTCCCGGCGGCGGAGCAGCTTGGTTGCCGGATCGCTGAGGCCACACTGGTCGAGGCGCTGAGCCCGAGGGAGCTGGTTGGACAGCTTGAGGCTTCGGGCGCTTTGGGATCCGGAACTGAGGCTGGGCTCGGGGTATTGCCTGAGGAAGGTTCGGCCGAGCCGGCAGTGCCGGTGAAGGCTTACGGGGAAGGCAGAGATGAAGGGCTTCATCCTCTTTCTTTTTGGCCTCACACCGTTGCTGCATCGATACCAGGGCAGAGCCGAAAATGCCTTCAGGCACGATTGGCATGTCCAAAATGTCCTCCTTCTCTCTATCAGAGAGGTTGGTGAGGTTCAGCCAACGTGCACGTTCCTGAAGCACCATCATGCCCATAGCTTTCGCCGTAGCCTGGACCGCGCAGCGCTGCACCCGCAGGCAGATGTCGGTCAGTACGGTGATTTCCTCCCACACCTCCGGGTCCGGCTTCGTATTCATGTCCTCACAGAGCTCGGCTTGGTACGCTGAGAGCATGGAGGAGACATTCAAAGCTCGGACCGAGATGGCGGCAGCCTTGTACGCCCTCTCGTTCAGCGCCGACTGGAAGCGGTCCGCCTTTGCAGGGAGAGCGGGAGGCCTGGAGGAAGTTGCCGAGAGTCGTGGGTGCAGGTGGGCTGCAACCAGCGGTTCCATCGGCGGCATGCGAAGCATGCCAGCCCTCTCCATCCCCTCGAAGTCCAGCGAGGAGGCTCCTTGGACCGGAGACCTTGAGCTGAAAGGGTGTTTGTCCCAGGAGGACCTCACTTCTTGGAGAAGCTCCGGGAAGGCGGGAAGGAGGGGCTTTGCCGCCCTTGTGGCCTGAGGCAGCTTCTTACCCTCGTAGCGGGACCTGACAGCCTCAGTGACCACGGTGGGCCAAGGGATGTTGAGCCTGGTCGCAGCGCGTCGGCAGACTGACTGCATGTCCAGGTGAGCGGCCGGAGAAGCCGCTCCATCCCTGGGAGAGGACGGAAAGCTAGGCATGGAGGCCTGAGCGACGGGGAGAAAGACGTCGTCATCCTCGTCCTCCTCTGAAATGAGGAGTTCCGAGGTGTCCTCGTCGTCTCCGTAGTCCAACTCCAACACGTCCTCGACGGGGTGGCTCGGACCGGCCAGTTCGAGCTGTGAGCCCCAGCTGAGTTCGACACACGGTTCCGGCTCCGGGAGGGCATGTTCGCTGGCGTCCCCAGGCGGTGGCCCAGGGGCCGGCAGGCAAGGGTCCTTCCCCGACAGGCTAGCTTGGCGCGCTAGCCGCCGGCGAAGGCTCTTCAGGGTGAAGCAGGCACAGTTCTCACATGACCCGGGGACTTCCAATGCCAGCTGGGCGTGTTCCAGCCCGAGGCAGCTCGAGCAGACCTTGTGCGGGTCTTTGCTTGAGATTTTGTTCCCACAGGTACAGAGGCGAGCTCCTGAGCCATCGACTCCTCTGGTGGGAGGAGCGGCTTCCATGTTGGCTAACTGGTGTGTTAGCAGAGAGCGAACAGGTGCACTGGAGTGTGAAGCTGCTCGTTATGCCCCGAACCTATGGTGAAGGTCAGGACAGAAGGACGGTAAGTTAACGTTCGGCGACGGAGAGAATATTAGAAGGCTCCATCTGTGAACAGTTGAGCTAACTTACCTCAGAGATAAGCGACCACCGAAGCGAGAAGAGGTGATTGAATAGTGCGTACGTGGGGACGCTTGCTACTTATAGTAGCAGGGGGACGCGTACGTCACGGTCACTGGCCAATCAGGATTGGCGTATTGAGATAAGTGCTTCTGAGGAATCCGCGGAGGGGCGTATCCCATAGTGAGACATCGAAACGAATGTTAAGAAAGAGAACCTCCAGTTTTTGCTTGGTGGGATTGTCTTCTTATTCACCAGAGTTAATGAGACCGGAGCATGGTCGCTGACAACTATTGGGTGTATCTCAGTGTCTGAAATGTCAGCCTGATGTAGTATTTCTTATATTGCATATCTTATTTAGTATTTCTAACATAGTATCTCTGACATAGTGTTTCTGATGTCATGTCTCTGATTTAGTGTCTCTGATGTAGTATCACTGATGTAGTATCTATAATGTAGTACCTCTGATATAGTATCTGATGCAGCATCACTGATGTAGAATCTCTTATGTAGTACCTCTGATGTAGTATCTCTGATGTAGTATCACTGATGTAGTATATCTTATATAGTATATCTTATTTAGTATTTCTAAAGTAGTATATCTGACATAGTGTTTCTGAAGTGGTGTCTCTGATGTAGTATCTTTTATGTAGTATCTCTAACATAGTATCTCTTATGTAGTATCTCTGATTTAGTATCTCTTATGTAGTATCTCTGATTTAGTATCTCTTATGTAGTATCACTGATGTAGTATCTCTTATATAGTATATCTTATTTAGTATTTCTAACGTAGTATATCTGGCATAGTGTTTCTGATGTGGTGTTTCTGATGTAGTACCACATATGTAGTATCTCTGATGTAGTATCTCTGATGTATTATCACTGATGTAGTATATCTTATGTAGTACCTCTGATGCAGTATCTCTTATGTAGTATCTCTAATGTAGTATCTCTGATGTAGTATCTCTTATCTAGCACCTCAGATGTAGTATATCTGATGTAGTATCACTGACGTAGTATCTCCTATGTAGTACCTCTGATATAGTATCTCTGATTTAGCATCTTTGATTTAGTATCTCTGATGTAGGACAATCTGATGTAGTATATCTAATGTAGTATCTCTTATGCAGTATCACTGATGTAGTTTCTCTTATGTAGTGCCTCTGATGTAGTACAACTTATGTAGTACCTCAGATGTAGTATATCTGATGTAGTATCACTGACGTAGTATCTCTTATGTAGTACCTCTGATATAGTATCTCTGACATGGAACCTCTGATATGGTACCTCTGATATAGTAAATCTTATATAGTATCTCTGATGTTGCATCTCTGACGTAGTAAATCTGATATAGTATATCTGATGTAGCATCTCTGATGTAGTAAATCTGATATAGTATCTCTGATGAAAGACCTCTGATGTAGGACCTCTGATATAGTATCTCTGCTGTAGTATCTCTTATGTAGCACCTCTGATGTAGTCACTCTGATGTAGTATCTCTGATGTAGTATCTCTTATGTAGCACCTCTGATGTAGTCCCTCTGATGTAGTATCACTGATGTAGTTTCTCTTATGTAGTGCCTCTGATATAGTATCTCTGATACTATATCATAGATACTACATCAGAGATATTTTATCTCTGATATAGTATCTCTTATGTAGTATCACTGATGTAGTATCCCTTATGTAGTGCCTCTGATGTAGTATCCCTTATGTAGTGCCACTGATATAGTATCTCTGATACTATATCATAGATACTACATCAGAGATATTTTATATCTGATATAGTATCTCTGATGTAGTATCACTGATGTAGTTTCTCTTATGTAGTGCCTCTGATATAGTATCTCTGATACTATATCATAGATACTACATCAGAGATATTTTATATCTGATATAGTATCTCTTATGTAGTATCACTGATGTAGTATCCCTTATGTAGTGCCTCTGATGTAGTATCCCTTATGTAGTGCCACTGTTGCCTCGCAGCACGAAGGTCGCAGGTTCAAAACTTGCCTTTCTGCGTGGAGTTGCGTGTTCTCCCCATGCATGCGTGGGTTTTCTCCGGGTATTCCGGTTTCCCTCACAGATCACAACATGCCCTACAGGTTAAATAAAAAAAAATTGTGAGTCGCTTTGGGTAAAAGCATCTGCTAAGCACATAAACAACATAAACAACAACATGTAGTATCTCTTATGTAGTATCTCTTATTTAGTGCCTCAGGTGTACTATATCTAATGTAGTATCACTGATGTAGTATCTCTTATGTAGTATCTCTTATATAGTATATCTGATAAAGTATCTCTGATAAAGTATCTCTGATGTAGTATCGCTGATGTAGGACCTCTGATATAGTATCTCTGATGTAGGACCTCTGATATAGTATCTCTGATATAGTATCTCTTATGTAGTTTCTCTTATGTAGTGCCTCTGATATAGTATCTCTGATACTATATCATAGATACTACATCAGAGATATTTTATCTCTGATATAGTATCTCTTATGTAGTATCACTGATGTAGTATCCCTTATGTAGTGCCTCTGATGTAGTATCCCTTATGTAGTGCCTCTGATGTAGTATCCCTTATGTAGTGCCACTGTTGCCTCGCAGCACAAAGGTCGCAGGTTCAAAACTCGCCTTTCTGCGTGGAGTTGCGTGTTCTCCCCATGCATGCGTGGGTTTTCTCCGGGTATTCCGGTTTCCCTCACAGATCACAACATGCCCTATAGGTTAAATAAAAAAAAAATTGTGAGTCGCTTTGGGTAAAAGTGTCTGCTAAGCACATAAACAACATAAACAACAACATGTAGTATCTCTTATTTAGTGCCTCAGGTGTACTATATCTAATGTAGTATCACTGATGTAGTATCTCTTATGTAGTATCTCTTATATAGTATATCTGATAAAGTATCTCTGATGTAGTATCTCTGATGTAGTATCTCTGATGTAGTATCTCTGATGTAGTATCTCTGATGTAGTATCGCTGATGTAGGACCTCTGATATAGTATCTCTGATATAGTATCTCTTATGTAGTATCTCTGATGTAGTATCTCTGATATAGTATCTCTGAAATAGTGTCTCTGACGTAGTATCTCTGATGTAGTGTTTCTGATGTATTATCTCTGAAGTAGCAGTATATCTGCCCCTGGGCATGGGCAAGTTAAACACTCACGTTCAACACCCAAACAGAAAAAAAAAATGCAAATGACGACTTAGTCGTCATTGACAGTGAATGAGTTAATGATAAAACAACATTCCTGAATTTTTTTACATTTGAGGCGTTTTTCTTTCTTGCTCATTATCCTCCACCGGAAACATGTTTTGGGAATAAACTGAGAAAGGATTCCAGCAGCACGACAATTAGTACAAGTTTGTTTATCCAAATAATCATTAATCACACTGAGCTAAATAATATCTCAGCATGGGTATTCATCTCAGAAATGTGAGTATTGTGCTTGGTGTTATTTTAGTAATAGCAATTAGGCCTGAATGTGTACAAACATGGGGAATGGCACGTTTGAAAGCCACTAATTATAACTGCAGACCTGCATGACAGCTCTGAGCCACGTGTTTTGATTCATGAGAACAACGCTGAAAGATAAAAACTGTCTTCCAACATTTTAAACAGAACCACGAGGTGAGTGGAAGGGTCGTCACGTCGACTCGTTCCTCTAGAATTTGTTGCACTGACGGGTATAAAGCTGCTGCAGAATATGTTCCATTTTAATAAAACTCACACTTGGAAACAAACAAAGCCAAAGACCAGCTGAAGGATTTACTGAGGAAAATAAAGGAAGAGAGTGTTTGACGCTGGTAAACTCACAGAAAAACAAAAGAAAAGGTTTTTGTTCCCTGTGTCCAAATCATATCTGAGAAGTCCACAGATGCTGCAAAAAGCACTTAATAAAACTGTGGACTCAACCATTTACAGTCTCTCTCCTTTTTTCTTGGTTATTTCCCCCTTCATTGACTCTCTGCAGCTTTCGTTGCCAGAAGTGTTGCAGTTTTGGATGAAGTTATTCATAAAACCAGAACTCCTATTATTCTCTAAGAAAATGCGAGCCTGAGCCTTAATCCAGCCCCAGACCAAGATTAACTCTGCCGCTGCATCCAACCCCTCCTTTTGTTTGTTTGTCTATTTCACACATGCCCCCTTTGCTTATCTGCTGGAACGCTAAATGCCGTTTGTTTTGTTCAAAGTAATTCAGGGTATATTGGAGTGTGATTGTGGAGCTGAGAAGGGCTGCCAAGGCACAGATAAGCATGTCACTAGTACATCCTCTCAGCTAAGACCCTTACGGACCTCTAGGAATACGGCTGCCATCTAAATGCATCAGCCGCAGAATAAAACGGGAAGTTATGATTGGTTATTTGGATATTGGACATCGGTGTCCTTCCACAAGGGTGTCTTCAGACCACATAGAAGGGTTTCTAACAACTAAGCAAAAGAATACTGTTTTATTCGGCTTTATGTTTGTTTAGAATTACTTTTTCATCATATTATGGGGGGAAATATAAAAAATAAATCATTGCTAATATTTCACTGAGTTTCCATTATAGTTTACTTTTCTTATAGCAGCAACTTTTTAAGCCTGTAGGCTATCAAAATATTATCAGAATAAAAGAGTAACGTTGGGAGGGTCAGATCTCTGCAAGCAATAGTGAAGCGACTCACATTTGCCTCCCCCCCCCCCCCCCCCCCCCCACTCATGCCGATTGAGCACCGATCAGAACTAACCAATAGCGTTAGACTACTGCTTACATGCTTCAAATTTAAGGAGTACCTCGGCTGATGCAGAGTTGATGAACTTTTCACGGACAAGTAAGTCTCCAATGAAAACACAACGACATGAGAATAATACTTGTACAACAAAAAAGTGTTTTAGCTCAGTTTGTCGGCTACAGAAGGACATAAATAAACACGGTGGCACAGGAGTTAAGTGCTCGCCTCGCAATCGGAAGGTCGCAGGTTCGAGACCCGCTCAGTCTGTCGCTGTCGTTGTGTCCTTGGGCAAGACACTTAACCCACGTTGCCTGCTGGTGGTGGTCGGAGGGACCGGTGGCACCAGTGCTCGGCAGCCTCGCCTCCGTCAGTGCGCCTCAGGGCAGCTGTGGCTACATTGTAGCTCATCCCCACCAGTGTATGAATGTGTGTGTGAATGGGTGAATGACTGGTTGTGTTGTAAAGCGCCTTGGGGGGTTCCAGGACTCTAGAAGGCGCTACATCAAATACAGACCATTTACCATTTACCATTTAAGAAACATGAAGTCGCTATCTTAAAAAAAAACGTAATAAGAACCTATTTGTGTGATATGCTCGTCAGCCACTAGGCGGTGCCATCGGATAAGAGAAAAACTCCAGAAAGAGACTTTGAAGAGTAAGTGACCCTCTACCAGAGTTTTACCCCACTCCCACTTCCTGTTTGAAAAAATGCAACAAACACTGTTGCCTCGCAGACCGAGAGGGCGGAGCCGCTAACAAACACACACACACACACACACACACACACACACACACACACACAGGTTCGCAATGATATTGTGGCATCATAATGTACCAGTTAACGTCATAGTGTACTTCTTAGCCAATAGCGATGGCAGATTTAAATTCTAATGCAGTGCAGAGTTTTTACCTGACAACGGCACACCACTAACAGTTTTAGGCAGAAAATTTTCATTTTAACTAAGATGCACCAAAGTGCACAGTTATTGTCTATATGTGTCTAAAGCATGATTAGACACACATTTATATAGTTTATCACCCAGAAAATGTTGATTTGGGGGTGACTTCAATCAATCAATCAACTTTATTTTTATAGCGCTTAATCATTCAATACATGCAACTCAAAGTGCTTAACAAATTATAAAGGCCCCACATACCCACATTCCCTCCATGCCCAGAATTTCAAAAACAGTCTGACAATGAAAACCCCGTCACAACACGCCTCCACCGACACACACGCATGCACACATACACATGCATACACACATGCCCTTTTCCCCATGGTAAAAAAAACACGATTGGCTGAGATCAGATGAGCCAGACCATCTAAGATAAGGATAAGGAAACGCCATCAGGGGAGCCATCCACCCCGACAGCAGCAGATCCACAGCAGCAGCCGAGGCACCGACACCGGGCGCCCAGGGCGGGGAGGGCAGAGATCCCCACCTCCACCCAGGCACACATGGAAAGCACCCAGGCCACCACAGCCGACCACCGCCGCCGGGGCAGAGGGCTCCCACAGAGGAAACACTGGAAAAAGGTTAAATTAAGGTTAAAATATAAAACCCAAACAGCTAAAATGAGAATTGAAATATAAAGTTATATAGATATTAAAATAATGTTGATGATAAATCAAGGTAAAAA